AAGGTAGTAACGTTCCGGACAAACAGTTTATTGCGCAGGTCTTCACGCAACCTGGTATGGAACATGGACAGAATTTGTGCGGGTGTAGTAAAGGTCTCCCCCTTACAGCGAATCAGATAATCATCAAAGGATGCTATGTAATCCTTGACTGGTTTGTTGCCCTGAGTTAACCTATTCCACCTGTCTAGGAGTCTAGGGAAGTATGAGGGAGGTAAGTACTTCTATTTGAGCTTGCGCTTTATCGATGGCTAGTTAGTTATGGGATACTCATTTCGGGATTCTCTAAGGCTTTCTAGGTTGGCTCAAAATTGACTAGCCTTGCCAATGAGTTTCATTTCAGCGAATCTGACCTTCCTAGCTTCAGAAATATTGTACCACTTAAAAAAACTATCTATTCCCTTGATCCAGTCTAGGAAGAGTTGGGGATCAAGGGTACCGTCAAAGGTTGAGGCATCTACCTTGATGTTTTTCAATAGAGGTGTTAAGATCGTGATTATGTTCATAGTCGTACTGAGGAGCTCGATAAGGGGCACGGGAGTGTCCCTCATCTGGAAAGGCATCGTCCCCATACAGTGGAGGAGGTCTAGAAGGTGTATACGGTGTAGGATGATTCCTAACTCATTCTAATGCGTCGAATCGCCCCGTCTTCAGTTAGATCGGATTGGTTTTCTTGAAGTTGCTGGCTAATGATGTTCATCTGACCTACCAACAGATCTAGATTCCTGTGTAATTGTTCTGGATCCATCCTAATATCTAAGTGTAACTCAGAGATATGCAAATTGAAAGAGATTAAATATGTTAGCAGTCCAATTAATGATGCACGCAGGATGCGATTTAGATGCTAAACAAATAAGAAAGAAAATATAACACGCATCTAAATGCAAACCATGCTCTGATACCAAATGAAGCAGAACTTAAAGGCCTAGGCAATGTTAAATAAAAATTTTGCATGCCTTAATTTAAAGAGTAATATTAACTAAAAGACTTCTAGTGATTTAAACAACGAAATAAAACCAAAAATTGGTGAAACTAGCTTAGGCCAAGTCACACAATTGGAAGCTAAGATCACAAAAGAATCAATTACTCAAGCATATCATATATGAAAGGTTTTCAACGATAAATCCCTATATTAACGATGAGACTAGTCATTATGAAAATATATCTCTTACTCAACTCTCTAAATTACTAGGCTTAGCGAAGGGTGTTAACACAACCTTTATGAATCAACTAAGACCACAAGTTATGGTAAGACTTAGAAAGGAAAAGATTTGGAGAAGCAGCAAGCGCCTGTACTGGCTGATGAATTCTGAGGGATTCATCTTTATCAAAGTTTGGAACTTCGGGACAGCAAGTAGTGGATTTCCGGAGAGCAGGACAGCAACTCTTCTTGTTGGAATTCCTTGGACAGCCATCCAACAATGTCCAGAAAAGTCTGGACAGCGAACGGTCTCGTTCAGGAGGGCTGGACAGCAAAACTCCTCGCTAAAAAGTTCAGGACAACAATCCTAGAGATGGCCAGAAACCTGAACATCAATTATAGGGGGTTGGGAGCTCTTGGGTAGCAGGTAGTGACCTTCATAGGTGCAGGACAGCAAGACGTTTTCGCTGAAAATCCAGGACAGCACTCAGGAATGTCAGAAAAGAGAGGAAATCGTTAGGTGGGTGGGTGGGGGTGAAGGGATTTGAGAGTTTCGTGGAGCAATTGACTTAGATATGAGAGAGGTAGATTGGGAGGCTGGGCTTGGAGGGGAATTAGGGGATTGATTGGAAAGTTTAATGGGTGGGAATTAATTAGATAAGAGAGAGGAAGGGAGGAGGGGGCAGCATCCCTTGAATGGGTTTTTTTGGGGAATTAATGGGAGGGAATTAATGTGGGTTAATTGAATGGGAGAGAGGGGTGGACTTGCCATGCAAGGGAGATTAATTGACGTCCACATTCAATTGAATGTGAAATTTGAATTAAATCTGATTTGATTTAAGATTTGAATAGATTGGGGATTTCCTAAAATAGGTTATATTATTTTAGGAAAGAATTTGTATTTTAAATTCATTTGAATTTGAAATTCATAACCTTCCAAATTAACAACAAATTATTTTAGGCAAGTTGGAGGTTAGGGGAAAAGGAGGTTCGGCGGCTAGGGTTTTGGTTGGTGGGTGGCCGGCGGCTGGTTGGTGGGTTTGGCCGCCGATTTTGGCTAGGTTTGGCCAGCCGTTTAAGGGGGGCCTAGGTCGCCGGCTTAGGGAGGGGTTGACGGGTGGTTTGGGTAAGAGGAGAGGGGTAGGGAGGTCGGCGTCTATAGTGGAGGGGCTTGAAACCGGCGGCTAGGAGGAAGGTGGCTGGCGTTATGGGAGGAGGAGGATAGGAATTAGGGAATTGACCACAAGCCCAGATGCTTCCTGCAGCTAGGGGTGTCAATTCGGGTCAACGGGTCGGGTTTGGGTCAAACCCGAGTTGACACGGACATAAACGGGTTGACCCGAACCGGACTCGTTTAGCTAAATGGGTCAGGATTATTAACCCGAACCCAATGTTTAAAATTGCGTATTCGGGTATTGAGGAGTTTTTCATTCGTGAGGCGAGGCGTAAGCCTCAAGGCGTTTTGAGGCGTAAGCCTCAAAATCAAAAGATTGCGTAAACATAAAATGATAAATTTTTTAAATACTAAGGAGTGAATAATATAAAATATAAAAAAGCATAAGATATGAAGTGAAATCAAAATATCTCAATAATAAGACAACATGAAATATAGTTCAACTCAAAATTCTATCTTTCTCAAATCCTAGTATTCTTTTCATTAACATATAATTCCAATTTCTAAAAATAAATAGCAATGACATATCACATAAGAACTCATAAATCATCAGCACTGTCAGCAATAAGGTGTTCTTCATTTGAATCATCATTATGATGAAGTGATGAACTGCTCTCTCCCCTTCCTCCTCTCCTATAGAGTCCAATGTCGGGCATTTACTTCAAGATTTATATAAGTTTTAATATATATAGCGTGAGGCGTAAGCCTCATGCCAGTGAGGCGAGGTGGGCCTTAAGGCGGGCCTCAACTAAGTTGAGGCGCAAGCCTCATAACAAAAACTCGAGGTGTAAGCATCGAGGCGTTTTTTACTGGAATTGCGCAAAGGCGGGCCTCAAGGTGAGCCTCATATTGCGCAATTTTAAACCATGCCCGAACCCGACCTGCACGAGTTGCCGGGTTGACTCGACCCAACACGTGAACCCGCGACGCAGTTGCTGAGTCGCGTCATTGGCTCGGGCATCCGACATCTTGGGCGAAGGCCGAGCGTATGGGCTTACAAGCGGGGGACTCGGACTAAGCCAGGTAACATGCTGCGTGGGCTTGCGGGCCTTCGCTGCCGAGTCAAAGTGCAGGACCTGTGGGCTGCGGCTTGCCGGCGTCCGTTGCCGTCTGCTGTCGATTGTCGAGTGTGAACCGTTGTGAGATGAGGCGGCCAGATTGAGGCAATCAGGCGGCTCGGAGCATAGGGGCTAGGGCTAGGCGAACAAGGAGCATCGTGGCACAAATGAAACTGATGGATGGCAGTAAGGATTGCCGCTTGGAGATTCCGCATTTAGAAATTCACACCGGTTCGAAACTGGCAATCGCCAGTCAGGTGAGCTAGGTGACTGCGGACCCGGACTGGGTCACTTTGGGTTGATTTCGGGTTGTCGGGTCAACCCAAACCCGACCCGAATTCTAAACGGGTCCAGAAATTAGACCCGAACCCGACCCGTTTCTTTAACGGGTTGACCCAAACCCATATTTTTTGGGTCGGGTTATTTTTTGACACCCCCACCTGCGGATGGTGGGTGATCCATCACCCTCACCTAAGGTTGTCTTCAAAACTCTCTCTCACATCACATAAGAGAAAATAAACAAAAGCTGAAATTTTTTCATAATAATTTTTATTAATTCTCAAAGGAGGGGGATACTTTAAATAGCCAATACAATGAAGAAAAAATACAAAGACCAACTTCTTACCCCTAGGGCATACACATGACTAGGCCCTCAAGTGGGGACATAAAAGGAAAATTACAATAGCATTCATAAACTAATACATCAATAATAAATCTAATACAATGATGATCAAAAGTATAGCAGCATAATCGTGACCATAGATCGACGGCCACCCCTCTGGTAGACTCTCCAAGTTCGGATGTCCTCACACATGATCTCTAAAGCAATCCGTAAGAATCTGAAAGCCAGAAGGATCCATTATAGTATTTCTTACTTGTTTATTTGAATAATCCTTATTTCCCTGATTTCATAGCATATTTATTATTTTTTTGGATTTGATCTGAATTTGTTATGAATTTTAGAACTTATCGGTATTATTAGACCATTTAAACCTTAAAGTTGGCCAAGCTAACCTTTGATTTTATTTTATTAGCAATCTCCTCATATTTCTAGTTTTTGAATTTAATGATATGGATAAACAGAAGTCCAATAGCAGATTTCTTACAGTTTATCTTTATATTAATTAGGATGAGAATGTAATACATCAAAAGTACATCATATGCTCATTATATTCGATTAAATTGATTAGATTGATGTGTTTTGACTCTTTTTACTGCTTTTGTCTTTAAATTAAAATAAACATTCCCACATTTAATTAATCAAAAATTTCAAAAATTTTGAGAGAACTTCATTTTAAAGTAGAGTTTTTAAATGCCTTTTCTTTGTATCTCTCTCTCTCTTCAATCCCTTACTACATGCTATATAGAATATATAGATATATGTAGATATAGATTTGAAGAAATTAGATATGAAGGATTTTTTTTTTTCCTGAGGAAAAGTTGAGTACTGAATAAAAATTTAATATTGGTGGGATTCAATCTCAGGATCTTGACGATAAATTTTGTAGTCTCTATCATTTAAGCTTGTTAGCACTAAATTCTATTCAATATATTTATTCATGCATTTTCATATCAATCTGCCTTAAAAAAAAATCTAGTTCCAACATCTGGCTCTACAAACTGCGTACAGGCTATTTGGGCATACAGCGGGCATTACAAGCCATCAAATGAGAACCTTAACCAATTTTTGAGCTACCTCAAAGAAAATGGGATTGATCTAACTGAAGTCGTGGTATGAGGATTGAAGCATATCCTTTTTTTCCGACGACAAATACATTGCTTCAAAATATACTACTATGCCAGTTAAATTTCTTTGGTTTTCTCAGATACGCTCTGCATCCAGTGAAGACTATGAAGAAACCAAAAAGCCTGAAGGTGAAGGTGAAGCTGATGATGTGGTTGACGCCTTTTCTATTTCTAAGCCCCCACCTCTCCAAATCCCTCCCAGATCCTTCATAGTACCTTCAGAGCAACCCACAGAAACCTCCATTAATTCTGAAACTGAGAATGGAAAAGTTAATGAAATAAAAGCTTACAAAAGGACTCTGTCTGGGGGGCTTCAGAGTCCAAAGACGGATGTTTCTGAGAAAGCACTTCAGGAGAGGATCAAATCAAAGATGAAATCCAGTTCATACCAGCTTGGGCATCAAGTCTCCTTCAAATGGTCCACTGGCGCTGGCCCAAGAATTGGGTGTGTGGCAGATTATCCAGTGGAGCTGAGGCTTCAGGCTTTGGAGTTGACGAACCTTTCGCCAACATGGTCTCGCACTCCAAAGAAATGTTCGTGAAGGTATGGCTCTTGTTCATCAAGTAACACTAATGCTAAATCTTGAACAAGTAAGTTTAATATTCAGCTGCCATTGCCGTGGTCACATTTTGCCATCCAAACTGAGCTACCTCTGCTATATTTGCTCCTAATGCGAAAATATTAAGTATTTTATATCATTAACCCAAATCTAGCAATTTGCTCGAGTTTGGAGCTGAAACTGCTGGTGCCCAAGCAGGCTTCTCCACACAGGGCACATTGTATATATATTGTGGAAGCTGTAAAGTAATCTGGGTGATTTAGGCTTCGTTTGGGACGGTTTTCTTACTACTTCTTAAAGAAGCTTTCTAAACTTTTGTACTGAAAAGTTGCTTCCGGAAGCACTAAAAAAGTCGTCCCAAACGAAACCTTAATTTTCCTTTAGTATGTTATCTTTTTGGCAGCATGAACTGTTAAATCGGCCGAGTTATTTGGCACGCTGGTATTTGCATCAGATGGTTACTTCCAAATTGTTACATAAGATCATGGCAATTGAAACGGGTAGGCAGCCAGCTGGCATTGATTTTTTGAAGAAATTTATCATTGTGGGATAGAAAGAGGGGAAATTATGGAAATATACTCATTTGCTTCCTAAATAATAAGAACATCTTTTATTTTAATTTCATTGCAATTAAAGTAAATCTTTAGTGCGATGTAAGATCTGTGAACGCCTAAATGAAATGATTTGTGAATCAGGAACTATTTTGTTACTTAGGGTGCCCTATTCAATCTATTTCTTATCTGCACCAACATTTTTATCAACTGATTAGGATGTTTGAAATTCTTGTTGCTATTAAGCAATGTTGATGCCGGTAGAATTTTGATATTAGAAAATCTTTAGCACTGAGCTGTTTTGCAGATCACTGGCGTAAGAAACAATAGGTTTACTATTAAAAACTTAGAGATTTTTTGCTCTAAGAACTATCTTTAATACTCTAGTTATTGCCTGCAAGGGGAAACCTGGGTTGATGAATTCATAGGTAGGAAGGTTAAGTGGCCCATACTTTGTAAGTTTTCAGAGTAGGAAAAGGAGGGTTGTCAAAGACAGGAAGTAAAACTTTTGGATCTATAGAAATGAGAATGACTATAGTAGTTTAAGGGTTTATGGTTTAAGTTTTTTTTTTTTAAATTTTAATTCTTAGAGCTCTTTTAGTGCAATGAAAATTAAAGGGACAACAGGCCTTGAGGTATATTTGCTATGATTTGCAGTAACCTTGCTCTTGAAGTGGTTTTTCACAAAAACACACTTGAAGGACTTGCTATAAAAAGAGATATGTTATAACAACCAAAGGAATGAGGCATGCGGTATGAACAACCAAAAGATGAGAGTAGTAACCTATAATCACTATATCAAAAACAGTAATGAAATATGTTATGTTCTATACAACATATTCTAATATATATATATATATATATATTTATTTATTTGTCAATTAGTTATTGATGCCAAATCGCTTCAATGTTTACAAATGCACCACACTAGGTATCCTTGTACCTCATAATGACTTGCAAGTCATTTCTTGTTTCCAATTCATATCAATTTATATTTTCTTACATTTATGTATATATATTTAATGTTTGTTTATCATATACTCATCATCATGAAGGTAAGCACCACCACCAATAACAACATCATAAAGCTTTTATCCCACTATATAGGGTCTGCTACATGAATCCTTTTTCTCAATTGTGCCATGTTAAAAGTAAATTCTCATTTAAATATAATAAAGAAAGGTCATTTCTAATATTTTCTAATCAAGACCTACCTCCATCTTTCTTACATAAGTCAAATCTAATGCATCTAGTTTCTTAACCGGGTCATCAGAATGACGTCGTTTTATGTGACCAAATCATCTAAGGCGACTATCTCAAATCTTATCTCTCACTGGAACTATTCTAACTTTTTCACGTATATGCTCATTTCATATCTTGTCTCTAAGAATAACGCCACTCATCCACCTGAGCATTTTTATCGGGAAGGCCACCGAGAAGGTAAACACCAACCCAATGAAATCCAATGATTTCCTATACAGTCGTCACTCTAGGGGACTGGCGACCCTGGCTAGCTCAAAATCAATAGGGTTCTGCCTACATTCATACAATCATATAGAACAAATGCTTTTATGAATAACCAACAAACATTATATAAATTAACATGTCAAGTATGATTTGTATAATTCCTATGATTTGCAGGAATGATATTCATTTTATTTAATAAAGCTAAATTACATAAATTTAACTTTTCCAACATAGAAATTTAACTTCCATGTATAAGAAGTAATGAGCAATAAATCAAGGTAAATTTATGTTTATCACATGTTGAAGGTTTACTAAATGTGTGATTATGTTAAAGAATTCAAAATAGAATTGGAAATCTATATAGTTATAATAGAACCTAATACAATTAGAATGGATTATGCCCCTCACAAAGAATGATACATTTATACAAAAATAGAAAACAACACTTCTAGGCGTGTGACACAATGCCCAAAAGATGCTTAGCGGATCACGCTTCGAGGATAAAACTCGAAAGTCCTACAAACAATAAATCCTAATTTAACATTCAAGGTAACACTAAAGGGAACACATATTTGGAACATAAATCGTATATAATTCACACCTAAAAATACAATGAATATTAATAGCCAAGCCTACAAGATTCATGCCATAAACAACGAAGTTTGAAAATATCTAAGATAATATAGGTTAGATCAATTCAAACATCAAACATATATAAAGCTTCCTCCCAAAGCAAGCTAAACTAATTAAAAAATAATAATAAAAATGAAATAAAATCTCCGCTAAATCAAACTAGTTAAATGATGGAAGAAAACATGATTATACGACTTGATAAACAGGAATAAGAAAAATAAAATAGAGGGAGGAGAAATGAGAAGATGGTGCTTACTATTGAAGGAGAAGTAGAAAACCTTGAAGAAGATGCTTGATGATTTCGTCAATTAATGAAATGGCGGCTTCAAGGGAGAAGAGAGGAGGTTTGATGGCTGCATAGAGGTGAGGGAAAGACAAAGTGCACAGTGGTTGTTGCGAGATGAGGAATAGGTTGCCCTAGGTTTCCTTTGCCTCCTTAAATGGCAAAAGAGAGAGCACGGAGCGGGAGAATTGAAAGGAGTGACAAGATTGTGAAATTATCCCAATTGCGCAAGTAAGGAAGCAGGTTTGAGAGCGGCTTATCTCGTGCAGCTTAGTTCACTGTGCGAGGAGGGCTCGGTCGAGTTGCGTGAAAGGAGAGCGGCTCACGAGAGGGGGGCTAGTTCCTGATCCCGCGTGAAGGGAGATTTCGCAAGACTCTCGGATTGAACTGGTCTAGGCTCGATTTATAACAATGAGTACTCGAGATTTTATATGTCTATGAGTTCAAAGGTTGCCTCAACTACTCAACTCCATGGCCTCCCAAACAAATCATCCGTGTCGACTATTCTAGCACATATAATCTCCACTATAATGTATGACTTCTCATTTATCAAAACCTTGCCTCTGTCTTATACCCCATCATCATTGTACCTCTTCTTCCCATTGTCTTAAACCTTGGTTCCTACATTGACGGATGGATAACCATAATTTTTTGCTTGCAAACCTTAAATATATCCATCACATCTCAATGGAGAGCAATCCATGACCAAATATGTATGTGATTTCAAAGCCAAAGTCGGTGCAATTGCAACCATCGGTTCATCCCAAAGAAATCATGCTCTACACCGAACCCCAAAGAAATTTGCTCAGCATAGATCTATAGCTCTCACAACATCCAAAGGAAAAAAAGCAAACTAGAGCATCCAATCCACCCTCCCACAAATTGAGATCATGGCGTATCTAATCCAGGTGGTTCCATCAGAACAGGTCGCAACTTTGCTCTCACCATTCAATGTCAAATCTAAAACAAGATTGATCACCCAGCTAGCAAGTGGTAGTATCTGACGGACTTCACTTATCATCCTTCCAACACTCCGTCGCAAACCTTCTCATTTGTGTGCCTTTGGCTATCAATGCTATCCTTGGCTACAACCATACTCACCCCAGAAGCTAGCTCTACAGTTAGCTTTTTTTATTTTCCTAGGCTACGCATCAAATTGCAATCGAAGGCTACAAGTGCTATAACCCTATCATAGGCAAGTCATTCATTTGACATAATGTATTGTTTCAAGATCTCTTTTCCTATTGTACCTCATCCTATACGAACCCAACCTCATCTCAACTCAATCGCTTCACTTATTCTCGTTCTGCTAATCAACACATGTAACTCCTCACTGCCATTCCTTATACGAGCCACCCCACTCTGCGAACCCACATTTCATCTATTTTCCTCATCTCCTTTTGACTACCAACATCCCAGTTGTCTTCTCCAGGCATATTCTCCCATTTTTGCAACTCCACCTTCACACTCCCCACAGACTACTCGTCAAATCCAAACCACCAAACATCAGCCTATGGTCACAAGTTTCCAAGCAGGCAATCTTAATCCAATGCAGATTGTATATTTTATACATATGCTTACCTCCAACTCAAATCCTACTTGCTACTTCGTCGCCTTCAAAGTTGAGAAATGGTGCAAGGCCATGTCTCAAGAATTTCAAGCTCTCCAATCACAAGGAATATGAATTCTTGTTCTACCATCTCCTTCTAAAGATATTTTAGGCCGTAGATGGATCTATAAAACCAATTAAAACTCTGATGGTACAATCCCTCTACACAAGCTAGTCATTCAAGCGTTCAAACAGGAACATTGATTAATCATACTAATACATTCAGCCAAGGGATTAAAATGCTAACCATTTAGCTCTTGCTTATTGGTAGTGTTAACACACCAATAGACTACACCGCAGGTTCATTTCTAGTATCCGGCTCCAGCCAACTCCGTCGTCCTGTCCTCCACTACGGCTGCAACAGCAAACCACTCAAAACAGCCTCTGTCCTCTCTAATCGCCTGTCTCTCTATATTCTAATATTAAGAACACTATCGCTAT